AGACATCTGTTTATTAGGATTTCTGCAATTGATGTATAAATACATTGTCTAAGCTAAGTCATTCAGTAGTCTTGATCATTGCTAACATATTCAAAATACTTATTCTAATGAAATTATCAAGGTAAGTTATCTTCAGAATTAGAAAAAAAAAGTTAGTTTTCCTCTTGAAGAGAAATTAAGTTTAAACTCTCTGCATCTAAAAGAATGATGACTGCTTCAGAAATCCACTTTCCTTCAATTAATCAAACACTAGAATAGATGTATTAGGCCAAGCTCCAACAAACCCAGTATTATTGATGCAACTGGTAACTAATACTTAAGGAAAGGTGTTAGAACAAGGGAGGCACAGAGTAATATACTTATCAAACTTTCAGCCTTCAAAATCTGGGTGCCAACTTACTGAAGTCGTAGAAAACAAAGGCTTCATGCTTATGTTACTGGCCAGCAGGTATTAAAAACAAACCTGGTAGTTAGCGGAAGTTGGAACAAAATTTTATGAAAATATTTCCACCATTACCTAAAGAAAACAGTATGTAGTTTACATACAGTACTCCAAACCACTCTGATGTTCAGATGCAAAAAGGATTTATCTTTGTTGATGGTAGCCATCAACATAGGTTGAAGTTGATTATTGTTAAAATGGATCAAATCTACTTTGGATGCGAACACTTTTTAAATTAGACAACAAAGTGTAACAGGTCCTCCATAGCCTTATATTATTTACAGTGCTAAAAATATTTTTCGATTTTTTCCTGTTTTATGCATCCATTTGTTTCCTTTTGTCATCAACTTGATGAGAACTGTAATGCAGCAGTTATCTGTTCAGCCTTGTGAGAAACTGTCACTGTGAACAATTCCACTTTTTAAGTTCTGGGATGTGGTGTGGATGTTTACTTTGGTAGGTACACACCATGGTTTTCTTTACTCACAAAATATCTGATGTAACAGGGCTCAGAGCTTCCAGTGATGCTTGGACTTGTGACTGCTAGCTTCCTTGAGCAGCCTGTGACAGGATGCTGCACAGATTGATCAGTGGCTGTGTTAAGAGAAAAGAAGACTTCATGAGATGATATGGATTGAGCTGTCTGCACTGTGTAGTTTGCTGCAAGCCCTCAGTTTGTAACTTACTGGGCTCTCACTGTGCAGGTAACTCTCTTAACTGGCAGTAAACTACAACCAGGCTTGGCCATGGTGCAGTTGACTGCCACTCAGTACTCGTGAGTTCCATCCTAAGATGGACTGCTCACAGCACAGGGCTGAGGTTCAACTGAAGGCAAGGCTGGAGACAAAAACTCCTGTGGTGTCACCAGAGGAAAGACTCTCAACTCTGGGTTGAGCTGAAACAGGGCTTCTGGTCCTGGTCCATAGGCAGGGACCCAAGGAGATGGCATGGACTGCAAAGGCCATTAGTGCCCTGACATCAATGCCCAAGTCATCAATTTGGGTTTAAGTATTTAGTATGTGTGTCCTTATTTAACAGTTGTCTCAGAATGTTATATTTTTCAAAAATCATTGTCAAAATCCAAGAAGAATCTGTTTTTTTGTTTGTTTGTTTGTTTGTTTGTTTGTTTGTTTGTTTGAGACTGGAAATGTACTTGCTATTCTGAGGTATACTCAAAACTTCTCAACAGTAGTTAGTGACTTGAGAAAGTGACTGAAATATTGCCTAGACAATGATGTAGCCCTGTGGCAAAGGCCTCTCATGCTGAGTGCTCCAAGGTGACAACACAGTTAAATGGTAAGGGCTGGGGAGCAGAGGCTTTGGAAGGGGAGGTCTTGTCTCCTTAACATATTTTGAAAAAGAGCTGATTACAGCTGGGAGAATCAGGGCAATTAAATGAATGGCAGAGTAAATAAAATGCATTCAATAACCACACAGTAGTACTGTCAATTAGATGACTCACAGACCATGAAACCCTGGAAAAAGAAAATAGAGAAACTAAAATAAAACTGAGTGACAACCTAGACACTAGCAAACCTCCTTTGCAAGCACTAACTTGCAAGGAAAGCAACAGAAATGAAGGGTGAGATCTAAAATGGGTGATTCTGGTAGCTCTGCTTTCTCCTCATTTTTGTACCAAGAGCTGGGTCAGGACTCTCCTCTGAGCTTTGGAGGGCTTTTGCCCATTCTTCAACTTGTCCCAGAAGACATGAACCCAGAAACACACACAGGCACATCCCTGCTCCCTGAAATCAAAATTCATATGGACTGCTTACTTTCTTGGAAACTACAGCATCTTTACTTTTTTCTTACTGAGTTTTCTGCTCTTACATGTTTGGCTCTAAGCGCTAGCAAATTAGAGTTGCAGAAGCTTTAGTTATGTTTTTTGCAAAGCTCCATTACCTCCCCTCTATGACAGATATTAGAAGAAAAAACATGTACCACATTCTCTGAGACATCTTGATTAGCAGAATGCTTTTCTGTCAACGGCCTTATATTTTACAACATTTGTAAAAGTTATAATTACCACAGAACAGCAGAATGATTTCAGGATAGTGAGAGGACCTGGAAGGCTATTATTTTATGGTAAATGGCTTTAAACATCCTGATAACAGAACTACATTTTGTGTATAAAAAGCCTTGGGGCTTTTACTGTGTTTTTTTTTCCAGCAAAAGGTTCTACATCAGCTTTCTCTCTGAGCTCAAGCCACAGAGAATGCAAACAGTAACATTATATCCCATTTACTCTGTCTGCTGACTAAAGAGGACAGATCATACTCATGTCATGTTACCCTTTTTAAGAATCATTGCTTTTATGTGTTCTGTATTTACAGACATTTGCCCTCTGAATGACAGGAAATTACAAGAGCATAAAATCAATGTAAAGTGGTTAGAATTCTGCCGTCTACATTTTAGCCTTTAAATTAAATATAAATAAAGAAATAAAAATTAAAATTAAAACAACAACAACAACAAACATACAATCTTTCATTTAGTATTGTAGTATTGTATCTTGCAGCTCCTCCACCATCTGAACTGGATGCTTTGGACGTGACGTCTTTCATCATGTCAGACACAGATCTCACAAGGAACCTCAGTGTTGAGGCTGAAATCTGGGAAGCTAGAGCTCTCTACATTTTGCTTCTGTCAGAAGGAAGAGGGCCACAGATAAATAATGATAAATAAATAGTCCTATTACCTCTCAATTAGGGTTATGAGACAATGTCTGGAAAGCATATCTGGAATTGAAATCTTAATGGCAGAAGAAATTAGTATATTTATAAAAGGAACAGAGCTTACAACGTCATAGCTATTGAAAGTGAGTTGGACAGATGCTCAATATTTTTGGCTTGCTTGTTAGTAATGTTTGTGGAAGCTGCTGGTGAAAATAATGTGAATTTCATAAGCTGAGCTTAAGCATTTTCACTAGTTTGCATTCATGCAAAAGTTGCAGGTTGTTCTGCACAGCACAGAGCCCAGCCTCAGAGAGGAATGTCAGAAGTGGACACACTTTGTATTCCTGGGGTTCTAAGGACTTTAGCTAGTATACTTTTTCATGTATCCTATGTACATTTTTCTAGCGCAAAAGAGGAGAATTTCCTCTCATCATCAAGATCTCTATGTCTAAGCACTGATGTAGTAGAATGAGACAGGGTGATGTCTATCATGAATGTTGCCTGCATCTCCTGATGAAATTTGCCACATAACTGTACAGCCTCCCACTCACGTTGCTTCCTCTGGCACCTATATTCATGTCCAGCCATTGAAGTTCTAAAGTGTGTATCCAAAAACACCTGTGAATAATATTTTTAGACATGCACAGGAAGACTGACTATTTTGTGTTGTATGATTGGAAGGCTATGAGAAGATCTGGGATGCCTCAGTAAACCCAGTAGGGATGCCTTCAGCACAGTGGAACATTCAATGTTCCCAATGTTTTTAAAGTTTTATAATGCAGTGTCAAAAAATATAACTCAGACTAGGCAATTCTCATGGAAATATTTAGTCTTCTCTCATGTGGGAAAGAGACTGCAGCTCTTAAGTTCTGTTCTGCAAATTCAGAGTCAAAGGGTAATGATTCCTCTTGTGGGATAAAGTTGATACGCATTGCTGAGAGCAATGATTAGGATTTAAGAGAAGTCCTTACAAGACTCCTGGACTCAAGCTTTTTATTATGTCAGTGATACTACTTTAACAGACATAATTTAATATCTAAACTGATAATGTACATAATAATGGACATTGTCCATCTTTTCCAGCCCTTTGGACTTCCTCTTACATTAGATGTATTAGCCTAAATTCATTCTTGTCATAATTTCACTGGTGTGACTGAAGCAATGTGAAGGATGAGCATATATCCATCATGCAGCCATTGCACATTGTGAAACTTTATAAAAAGTGGGAGAGTATGGATTCTGCAATCTCTGGTGATTTTCCAGTGTCTTCTCATTCCGTTTAACACTGACTGCTGACAGGGTTGGGCAATGGACATCTTATCTGAATGATTGTCTTGTTTGTTCATTGCAACATCACAAGCTAATCATGCCGCAACACTCAGAATTTACCTTGGTTGCACACTCTACTGGATTGATACAAAGATTTCATATTTCAAGACTGCTCATCGTTTGTTCTCAAAATAACTGTGTAATTAAACTATATTAACTTTTGATTTAAAAAAAAATGAAAACTCCTGAAAAATATTTTTATGGCCTTTTTCTTTGCATAGAATATATGTTAATAGTTTGTGATAGAATCTTGCATTTTAGGAGAACAAAGAGCTTTAAAGGAATGGTGACTAACATATATTTGCATATACACCCACTCTGGTGACATTGTGCTTGTCACATCTGGTAATCACAATTAAGTTTTTCAGTACAAAAGTCAAATGGCACCAATTATTTCTCTCCTGGTTTGTATGGAACTGTTGAGGCCTGAACCACTGATTGATCACCTGAGGAAAGGACTGAGTCAGCCCTGGGAGCACAGGTGAAGGCAATTCACATGTGTGACCAAAAAGGGTGGAGCCTGGCTGCACCTCTCTTAGACCCCCCATTTAAGGGCTGACTGCCACTGGGAGGGCTCTCTTTCTGGAGATCCCTTTTCTGTGGAGTCTCTCTTGCCAGCCTAGGTCTTTGAATGCAGGTGAGCATTCCTTCCCTGTTTGTTTCTTTTCTCATTTTCACCACACTAATTTTTCCAGCTGTAACATCAACTTTAACACAGATGTATGCTAGGTTACATATGTATAGATGTAACAATGAGATTTCTACCTTTATTGATCTATGGTCTGTCTTTTTAACTCTCCTCATTTCTTTTCTTGAGTTAATGAAAACAAACAGCAAACAAACAAACCACCTCTATTAGATAGCCTTGATTTGGGTATTGTTAAAATATGACCTGAGTATTCTTATGTTTATTCTTTTTCAGGTTACTAGCAGTATAGCAGGGATGTGGTATGATACATATAAAGGTGAAGAGAGATCCTGAGTGATTTCCACAGGCAGGAAGAGGCACTGCCTTGTCTCTTCCCTCCTTACTAGAACCTGGTTTTGCTGCTCCGTCTCTCAGGTGTCAAGAGATGTTTTTTCCTTTCCTGGAAGCAAAGTAACCCAATTTTAGTCATAGAACTTCACTGTATACAGCAGGAACTCTTGTTTTGAAAACACAGTAAATGCAGACCCTGGGGAGGAAGGAATGACTAAATGACACAGAAAATTTGCACTTTACTCAAGGCAGTGGGAGAAGTGTGAGCTCTCTGTCTGTTACAAGGGACCATGGGAGAGGACTGAGTACAGAAGAGCTTTGGGATGTCAAGTCTCCAGATGGTTACTGTCAGAGGTGAGAGGTGTTAATTAGGCAGCCCTGCCTTGGAGCAAGCCCCAGCTCTCTCTCACTGATGGTTCACACAGAATAATGCATTATCCAATGCTGCTCTTTGACTGGCACAAACAAGCTAGAGGATGGAATTTTTTACATCTTCTCCAGATAGCGAATCATACTTTGAGTATAACGAAATCTTTGTATTTTTTTCTTTTCTGAGGGCAACAGGTCAAGAAATAAGATTTAAACATAGGCTTGTGGTTTTTTTATTATTCAAATAGCATGCACCCCAATGTTATATCCACTGAGGAAATGTCCGTGTGTCACTAAATAGAAATATCTCTATTCTAGATTTTGATTTTATCACTGTAACTTTTAAGTTTTAGTTTCTGTTGCTATAATTCTTTTCCTTGCCACAACTATTGTTCTACATAGTACAGGTAAAAATGATCACTCTGTCTTTTTAGAAACAAGGCATTACATAAACTTCATTAGAAGCTCTTTCCATTGATATTTTTTCCTGGTGATCAGAAAGGTAGAATAACATGTGGACATACTGATTATTCAAATAGAAAAGAAGCATCCACAGAAACACCTATTTTCATTTTAAGATACACAGTGCGTTTTGCTGCAATTATATTGACAGTGGTGTTTGATATTTTTAAGTGTTAGAACTGTGGACCTACATCCGTTATGATTACAGGAATTATATACTTTAACTGTTTTTCACTGAGAAAATAGATACAAATGGGGATACAATTTGGTGATAGACTGAGGGAGTGATGAATGATGAATATTGCAAATTGCTCAGTAGTGTGCCCCCCTGTTATGTCAATAAAGGACATTTCCAACTCTGCAAACTGTGAGTGCCTGGGGAGATACATTAACTGTATATTGACATTCAGCACATAAGAGACTGTGATTTTTTTGACCTTTTTCTTTCTCTCCCCTGCAGTGCTGAGACATGAGTATTGGAAAATATGGAAATCTAAGACCAGAACTCTTGGACTTAAGAGTGTGATGAGTTCTTCCAACATACCACAGCGATTACTGTGAGATAGAAATGATCCCATGTGCAGATGTCCCAGGCAGGATCTCAGCAGATCAGTGCTGTAGGAGGCACTTGGGAAACTGCAGGGTGCTTTCTTCTTTTCACACATCTCCAGAACTTGGCTGATGTTTTTTTAGGTTGAAGGGCAATATTCTTTGTATCGTGGCAATGGCAAGCTATGCTGTTTTCAAAGGCTAAGCTACTGCCTTGAGAGTTACAGGCTACAAGGGGGAAATTATTTTTTTTTTCAGGGTGAGAAGGGTTAAGATCTTGATTTTTTTTTTTTTTTTTAATGGAGCTCAGTTTGGCCAACAAGATTTTTTTTTTCTTGCTCTTTCACCTGCGGACAATTATGACTAGAAATGCATTTTATTTCTTTCTCTGGTCAAGGGCTAAGCATCTATTTGTTGGCGCAGTCAGAGAAGTATCTATCCAAGTAATATAAAACAATTGTAAAGATATTTGCAGCCCACTTTATTTGCTATTACAATAAAACTAAGAGAATGTGAGGAATGAGGTCTGGCTTCATCTTTGAGCAGAGCAGGTTTCTAGAAAATAGACTTGAATTTCATTCCTCTTCCTTTTTGGAAGGGCTGAGGTAGAATAAGTCTATTCTACATCAGAAAGTTAACCAACATGTAGAACGTGCAGAAGGAATTGTCAGATGTAACAATATTATGAACTCTACTTCATCTTGGTGGTTAAAAATATTATTGGATCTAACCAATGGAGGCTAGGAAGAAGTAGTGCAAAAGCAAATCACAGCTTCTCAGAAGAAAAAGAAGAATATTTGAAAGACATTGGCACAAATAAGTTTTACTAACTTTCAGGCTTTATGCTGTTGCAGGTTGCAGCAGGTGGAAGGCAGAAGATGCATGTGAAATTAGCAGAGAGGACAGCACAGGGCTGAGAGCCCAATTCTTCTTGACCGGAGAGACCAAGTGAGTCAGAAACACACGTTACTGAGACTTTGAGACAATGTGATTCAGATGACAGGCTGCTGAAGTTTGGGATTGTGGACTTAGGTAAAAACAGAGTGACACTACAATCAACTCTTGTAAATCATGTTTATAGTAGGCTGAACAAATTGGTGATGTTTTCAGAAAGGTGCATTATTTTCTGTCTCTCAGTGCTGATATGTAGCTTTAGCCATTCTGTGGGTGGCTAGGAAAATATCAATGTGTCAGTAAATTATAGGCATATTTTTTTTTCTCCAAGGACTTGGAGACATTCTTATGATTACAACAGTCAGGTCTTAAATACTGCATGCTCCAGATGTTGAGTACAAACCTGCCAAAAAGGTTATGCTTCAGCAACATCAAATCCTGCTGGCCATGTCTGCTTGCATAGGTGTAAATTAAATGTGAATCATCTGTGGTCAGTGCAGGCATTAATCATCATGTCAGTGTCGCAGTGAGCAGCATTTGACCTTCAACTGCATTTCTAGATCTACTACCATGCTACAACTTCACCATGGAAATGCTGATGGTGCACCACAAGCTTTTGAGTGCAGTTTATCACCAGTGGTGCTTTAGGAAGCAGCTCAGTGGTTTGTACTCTGTGCCTGTGAGGTGAAGCACGTGGGTTGTTGTGTGTTTGATCAGGATCAAAATCCATCTGCCAAGGCACTTTGCCACTATGTGATACCTTTCCTTTTTTCCCCACAATCTTACCTTGTCAGAGTTGGTAATGCCTGTTCCCAAAGAGCTGTGATTGGAGCATTGAGCAGCATCTCCAGATGACAAATAAAGGAAGAAACAGCTCTCAGGTTGTACCAGACCTGAAAAGTAATTATGTATCAGCTACTTGGAAAGGAGACTTACTGCCAGGTGGGAAGAAAGGTCTACACATTAAAGTCAACAAGCAGTTACTGTATTAAAGTATTTATAGGAAAATATTTTGGAAAGAGTTATAAGAGGATTTTCTATTGTGAAGGAGTTTCCACTGTTTCTTTCTTGTTGAAGTACAAAACCAAGTTTCATATTGATTTAGATTCTGGTATTTGAGATCGTTCTTAGCAATTTGTTACTGAAGTTAGCCACACGTCATAAAATATAGGTAGATCTTGCTCATCGGTAAAGTAAAAGAAAATTTTGTCTTGTCATATGCTCTGAAAAGTTGTCTCTGTTCAAGTACATATAGACACAAAAAAGGAATTTCACACACTAAATGAGTCCTAAGACTCAAACTATCCAGGAAGTAACTACTTCCCTTTTTCCTTTTTTTTTTTTTTTAATATACTTAGTTCTGCAAGTGTGATATAAGAAGAAAAATAAATTAAGTGATAAGTTCTTTAAAGAAAATGAATTTTCACTCTTTGTAATCGATAACTTACTTACGGTGTAGGACTGTTCAAGATGAAGACGTTGTTGTTAGGAAAGTGAGCAAAGGCAAGAATACAAGCTTGCAAACCTTGAAGAAGCAGCAGTGAACAAACAAGACTGCCTGTTTTGTTCTGTGGTCTCCAGAAATACAGTGTCACATAGATTCAGTTGTGGAATAAACTGTTCTGGAGAGGTGTTATTTTGTACTCTTGGAACTTTACTAAATTCAATGTTATAGATTAAAGAGCTGATATCTTGTCAGTGGCTTTATGAATAGGATTTTTAATACATTTGGATTTCAAGGCTCTTCACACATTTTATTTGAAATGCTCAGGTTTCTATTTTGGGGGCTGAGTTTGTATTTTAATGAATCAAAGTGCGAAAGCAGCAGTGAGTTGTTAAGACTTAAGAGCAACAGTTATTCAGAACTGGCTATCAATAGAAAACTGCCTTCAGCAGGCTACAGCTCCAAATGCTTGAAGTAAAAAAGACTACCTATGTAGATAGTGATATTATTATTAAATATCTGAGTGGCCAGGAGTCTGCTCAGATAAACTGGGATGAGAATACAGTGTTTATTTCTAAGTGGCCCAGAAGTGTTTCTGTCATGTCCCTGGAGATTCCTAGCACAATTCTGTTCTGAAATAGCTGCACAGAATAACTGGAAGATTGCATAGACAACGCTGCAAATGGTTTTGATTTAGGAAGGCTATTTTTCCTCCTGCTATAGTTACTGATGTCATTTCTTATGCTGAAAGGAGGTTACCCAAAAGGTTTTTCTCACTGGTACTGTAATAAGGCTGAGATGAAGAGATTGTGCATCAGTTGCCCTAAGCATTCACTTGGCCCAGAAGGTAAAGTACAAAGTTTTGCACTTGGGCCGGAATAATCCCAGGCATCCATACAGACTGGAAGGAGCGGTCCTTGAGAGCAGCCCTGCAGAGAAGGATCTGCGGGTCTTGATAGGCGAAAAACTTAACATGAGCCAGCAGTGTGCCCTTGTGGCTTGGAAGGCAAATGGTATCCTGGGCTCCATCAAAAGAGGGGTGGCCAGAAGGGACAGGGAGGTGATTGTCCCCCTCTACTCTGTTCTTGTGAGGCCCCATCTGGAGTACTGTGTCCAGGTCTGGAGCCCCCAGTACAAAAAAGACAGAGCTGTTGGAGAGGGTCCAGAGGAGGGCCACAAAGATGATCAGGGGACTGGAGCACCTTCCCTATGAAGACTGGCTGAGGGAACTGGGCTTGTTCAGCCTGGAGAAAAGAAGGCTGTGGGGAGACCTCATTGCAGCCTTTCAGTACCTAAAGGGAGCTTACAAACAGGAGGGGAATCAACTCTTTGAAAGGGTAGATAACAGCAGGATGAGGGAAAATGATGAGGGAGGGGAGATTTAGGTTGGATGTCAGGGGGAAATTCTTTATAGAGAGCGGTGAGGCACTGGAACAGGCTGCCAAGAGAGGTGGTGGATGCCCCATCCCTGGAGGTGTTCAAGGCCAGATTGGATGGGGCCCTGGATAGCCTGATCTAGTATTAAATGGGGAGGTTGGTGGCTCTGCATATGGCAGGGGGGTTGGAGATTCATGATCCTTGAGGTCCCTTTCAACCCTGGCCATTCTGTGATTCTATATAAAGGTTTGTATGCCACAACAGCAATGAAGGCACTATTTAAGCAGCATAGACAAGACACTGAGATGTAGTTTGGCCAGGAAGCTGCACAGGAAAATCAAGCATCAGTGTGAATCCCAGATGCAATTTTTATGAGAGAGGGTAGCAGCACTGAAGTATTAATTCTTTGGCTTTTATGGCCAAATTACAGATATTTTTTGCTCCAATTTTCTGTCAGTTCCCTGAATGCAGTATTAAAAAAAAAAAAAGACAAGATTTGGTTTCAGATGTCATGAGTAACTCTTCGGAGTTACTCAATGACATCTGAGGAAAACATGGCTTACAAGCGATCTGTGGTTTTAAATTAGATTTGCCAAATGCTACATAAAACAATCAGATACGCACAAATTAAAGCTGTTGACAGCCATTTGCAAGCTGGATTATAAGGAGATAAAGCTCAATGAATATTACTGCCAACAAATAATCTGACTTGTTTCTACTGTGAATATAGAGTACTTGAAATAACTCATGGCATGTTTTAGGTAACAATGTCGATTTAAAACGAAAAATAGCCCTACCCTTCCACAAAAAAAAGTGCTTATATCACATACAATTTTTTGAATGGTGGTATAGGCTGTTCTATGCAAACTGTTTTGTGTTCATAATTTTGAGATAAAGCAGCATCTCAGTTTTTATCAGCCTCTAAACAAGGACAGGAAAAGTGTCAATTTTAATAATTCTTGTTCTACGTTTTATCATGCTTGACTAAATGGAAAAAGAATTGCGAGTCCATTTTAGTGGAAGGACTTGTTTTAAGAGTTTCCTTTGATTTGCCATATCATATTTTGCATGATACTTTTCTTTTGAATCCATATGCTTGTCTAAGTAGCAAAATGTGGTGTTAGTTATATTAGCTGATGTGAAATATTTGCGGTGCTGAGAACCTCAGCAAACTAATATCTTGAAACAAGTAGCACCCTATGGTAGCTATACTCTCTCTTGGCTGTTCAGCCAGCTCAGGCATGTCTGCACAGGATTGCTTTGTGGTTTCAGTTTTGCAGTGAGACCAGCAAATGCGTTTGCTGATAAGTTATGCTTGACATCTCTGTGTGAGCTTGCCGAACTATTGCCAGTGAAATCTTTCTCTCACAGAATGTAGCAGAATCCAGCCATCAAACTCATCTGGGACTCATTTCTTCCTTTTTCTTCTCATCTCAAGTGGAGTATGCTTAATTCCCTTTTGGAGCAGCAAAAATGGCATGGAAAGAGGGATGAGAAGTTGAGTTGAGTGAGCTAGGTAAATATTATTCTGACATGCACCCAGCCACAGAAGATAAAGGGACAGATACATGAATGTCTTCTTTCTAGAACAGACATAAATCCTACTTAGAGCTTTGTAATGCATGAGTAAAATTCCGTAAAAATACACTTTATACTGTGAGAAGTCTGTAAAGCATGAGAAACCACTTCTTTGTCATATAAATAAAACATAATCTTTAAATTTACCAGAGTTAAGTTCTTTGTATGGCAGAATAAAGTAAATCCAGAATTGCATATGTTAAAAAAATTGCTATACGTGACTTAATTGTCACTCCTGGATTTGTGTTACAAGGAGAATTTCAGCTGTACTGCAAATACATCAAAATAATCCTTAGAAAAGATAATATTTCAGTGAGGGAGCTTGGCAAATATTTTACATACACCAATGTCATTTCCAGGTTCATATGCAGTGGATGTGTTCTGCAACTCCATTTTGTCATTTGCTCTTTAGTATCTGATTTTTGTCTTCCATTGTTTTCAATTAAAATTAGCTAAATATGGCAGAGGAAGAAGCCTACCTAAATCCAGATCTATTACTAATGGTATATTTATAAAAGAGGCAAATTTCTGCATCTTACAACTCTATAGAAGTTAGCTAAGATAAGGACTCAAGTTCTCCTAACTGAAGGAGAATAAAATAAAAGTAAGGAGAAAACATCTGTGACAGGTGAATGCATTCTCTCTTGAGTGCAAAGAGCTCTCCATCCTTAAAAGAAAACAAACTGTAATTCTACTAATTTGCCAAGGTAAATATATTCTACATCTAAATTGTAAAATTTTTAAATGTTTTCTATTGGTCTTCCTGGTGGGTGCTCTCTCTGTAGCTATTACTGTGCAGTTCTTTCTTGAAATCTTTTTCCTTGGATCTGTCAGAATCAGCTTAGGATCTGAATTATATGAATAATTTTATGAATACCATAATTATATACACAAAAGGAGACACATTCATACTCTTTGTATTGGAGAGATCTCAGAACCTCAGCTATGGACTGATGTTCTGCATTCTTTCTGCATATCAGGAAAAAAAAAAAACAAACACTTCAGACAAAAGGTTACTTACTTGCACTGAATCAGTAGGATCATTTCTGGCATTTTTATTCTCTGAAATATGAATTAGTTTTTAAAATGGATTAGCTTGTGACAGAAATTGAAAAACAGAGGAGAACCTGTGTGATCAGAGATTTTTTTGGTGACAAACAATTGCAAAGTTTTAATGGTGTAAATAACAGAGTTGAAGTGAATCTCCCAAAATTGGTTGTTATACCCATTCTGGAAGAAACCAGGTATGGAGTGTATAAAATTATCTGATATCAGTGTAAATTAGTCATTCTTCAAACACTTAGGTTCAGTTGGGTAATGTTTGCTAAATGAGAAGAATTTGAAACACAAAATGTAAAAATTTCTTGTTTATTGCAGTTTAATTATTTGAAACTAATTTGTTTTGGAATATGTATCTACTCAGATCTTTCAATTGATCAGTTTTATACCTTGCATACCTATAAACCCAGTTGGGCAGAATACGAAGAACATCTGTGTGCCATTAGAGATGATGAATTATAGATCACGACAAGGAATCACTGTAATGAGGGAAAGCACTGAGTTTAAATTCAGTGTTTTAGTGCAGCAGTGAACAGGTGACAAAGCACTGTGATCTATTTTGTGCCTTGTTTGTAGTATCTAATTTTTGCTACAAGACAACTTGTAAGAGCAAAACATTTTACTGAAGAAAGCTAAAATTCATTATGTTTTAAAATTACATAACTGAAATGTAAATATGCTCACCAGAACCAACAATGTTGATTAGCTGCTTCAGAGAACCCTGTACAGCAAAATATATTTTTACTTGCTGGAACTACCATAGCGAACATCATTTATGTACGTAATACAGCCAATAGTCTTAGAACATCCAGAGTCTTCACTGAGCTAAAATTTCTCTGCATGAAACATCCTCTCTCTTTCTCTCTCAGAATTCAGATCTGGCTTTTGGTCACTTCAGAGGCACTCAGTGTAGGCTGAATTTATTACAAAGCTTTGTTCAGCTGCACACCATGTCACTGAAGGCTTCCTAGTTTAACTTTTGCCTGAGAGAGTTTACATCACCACTTCCTATCAGGCTGAAATAGCTGCTGGGCTGTTTATATCTTTGAATTGATACTTATCAAACTCTGCTTGCTTGATTCCCCTTTGTGTGGACTACTTCCTAAAAGCTGAAGTAAACACAGAATGTAAACTGGAGGGCCTGTGGAAAACTGGATTTCAGTTGCTTAACAAAATACCTAAGAAAATACTAGAACAGTGACAGAGAGAAGGCTTCCCAACAAAGAAAAGTTTCCTCATATCAAGTTTTAATTACACTTGATATTATTCTCTGTCCATAGACATATTTGAATACTCTGTGTGAAGTCGAACTATTTACAGAGAAGAAACTAATAAATGTAGAAAACTGCGTACAGATGTGGCTCAGCACAGAAATGCAGGAACTGATATCTGAAGCGCAAAATCAAGTGAGACAAAGGAGATGATAAGGATGAATGGCAGAAATGGGGAGGCAAGGAGGCAGAGATGTTGGCATTGGAGCCAGCTCATAAAAACAAAACATTGTGCTCCTCTTCCTTGCAGCATCTAACTCAGCAGATATATTTTGATCATGTTCTCCAGATCAGGCTTCACAGATGAGCCAGAGCAATAGCAAGTTCCTGACAGGGCTTAAGAATGAGCTAGAAGTTCTGTAGTTGTGGTGTGCCACATTGCAGGCAGTCTGTGTATCCTCAGAAACAAGACCTACCCACTCTTCTTCTAGAGCATAACAGCCAAGTGCCACAGGCCTATGGAAACAGCAATGAGGGATGAGGTCTTGAGGGATGAAAATCTAGTCTTAACTGCCTACCTGAGCAGTTGGCCTGATTGTAGATTTGGCTGGAAAGTTGTCCTGTTTATGTTCCCACTCTTTTGAACTATCTATGCAGAATGCAGGGATCTTTTTCTGTGCTGTTTTAAGATGCCTAAGTTCAAGTTTAAAATGAAAGAGCCCAGAAGTTAGAAAGATGTTGCTCTACTCTCACTTCTCAAGCATTTGAAGTTTTGTAGAACTTGGAGATTAAATGAATAAGGGCATCTAACATTCTCTGAAACAGGTATTTCTTCCTCAATTGCTTTATTTACTTTGGTACAGAAACAAGATAAATTTGTCAGTACTGATTTCTGCAGGTGAAGCCCAGATCCTACTACTGTGATGTGCTGATGGATGGGAGTCTGCATGACATGAAATGCAATGAGATGCATACAGAATTGAACTGTTGTTAAGCCCATGGTCTGCTTAGACTGGACAGGTCAAACACCAACTGGAACAGAAAAGTGAACCCTTGTGCAATGAGTAACAAAAATAGAGGGAACACGAGGTAAAGTTACAAGGTGAAGAATTAGTGCCAGTGTTACCAAGCAACGCACAGGTGACAAATTATGACCTATGTTTATGGACAGCATACACCAACCTCACCCCTGCAGGGTGGAAGCCAGCATCTTTGTGGTAAGAATATTGCTAATGTTTAAATATTTCTACCGCATTTTTATGCTATGACCATCACAAGAGAGAAGTTCTGAGAGCATTCATATTTGGTCAATGCACAGGGCATACAGGAAAATTATGGAGTCCGTGTATTCAGTATGCCAGGCATGGAAGCCTTGGGAAGATTTGCTCGCAGTCATGAGATGCTCTGGAAAAAAAAAACACGTAACAGTGTAGGTTATAGCTTTATGAGATCTTCCAAAATAGCTAGCAGCAAAGTCTGTGCAATCCTGTAATACTTAGCCATTAAGCACTGTCCTCTTTTGTCTATCCTGGTATAATTTGCATTTTGATTAAACTGGTGAAATATTTTGCTAAACAAAAGAGCCTCTTATTAAATGTAATTATATTTCAGGTTTAGGTGACTGTTTTTACTGAGGGGAAAAAAAACAACACCAATTTCCCCTTACCTTTTGTGTTATAAAAAAAAAAAAAAATGGTTACATTAGCTGGATAAATAAAAATAGATAACCAAATTAATCATGTTTAGTGTAATAGCAAATTGCTAGGAGCTTATAGACTAGTTTAAGAATTTCCCTTTATGTTACAGGCTAATATAAATAGTCCTCCAAAATGTATTATGTCTATTTTTTCCCTGTCATTACCCACAGAATAACAGTGCACTAATAACTGCTGCTGGAATATAAAAGACATAGGGTAACAGCTGGGATAAAATGATCACAAAAGTCCATGGTTTTGTTACTTGTTTTTAACAGGAGCTAGGAAACAGTTTTGTTTTAAAGTACATTTTAATTGCCACACAAAGTAGAAGTCTGGTATTGATTTGGGATGTGTTTCCAGATACTAAAATTGTGCTTCTGATATAATCAGTTTTGAGCTGCTCTTCAGCTCTCTTGTTGCTTTGCTAATTACTTTATATTAGGTGTACTTCCCAAGATCTAAGATAAGGTAGCAGTTGACTGATGCACTTTCTCATGGTCATACTTTAAGAGAAAAGAAAATTAATTCTTTCTTCCTTTTCTTTTGTAGACCTTGCCACCTCACAGTCTGTGATTATATCACCAGCTGGGACGCGAGAGCCAGATAATAACTTTTTTCCATTCACAGGGAGTGTGTGAATCTCCTTGAGGAACAGAATGCCTGAAATCATTGGATTCCAGGATAGCTCAGCCTATGACAGACTCAAACATATGATTGCAGCTCTTAAAGTGTAACGAGACCCAACTGTACAGTGAAACATTTCCAGACATACGTATGTGATACAGGAAGAATCAGGTGCAAAAATTTCTCTGTTGTCTGGCCATAAACTGCAACAAATATTCTCTGTAAAATGTAAAAATCCAGTGAACTCTCTAACACAAACCTTTATTTATGTTTGCACCCACCACACTTCTCTTTAGAGTTTAAGTATCTTCAGAGTAAAAGTTGTGAGTTTTGGGTTGGTTTGGATTTGTTGGTTGTTTTTTTTGTTTGTTTGTTTTTTGTTTTTTTGCTGTTTTGTTTTGCTTTGTTTTTAATAATACATGCACAGAAGAAGGGACTTGAATCCTCCTGTTCAGGAAGAAAAAAAAGAATTTTCATGCCTGTTAATATATGAATGTATACATAAATCCAGAGTTGTACCGGACTTTCAATAGCATTATGTTCAGCTGAGTGGCACCATCATAAGAGAGCTCCACGTTCACCAAGGGCTTGCGGAAGAGAGAGGACAGCAAGGAGAAGGCACAACAGGTACTAGGACATGACAGTCATTTGAAAAAGCAGGTAACATTGAAAAAGCGTTGGACAATAAGAGATTCAGAGTAACTGACCATAATTTCAATAGCCAGTTCAGCTGAATGGGACTAAATCCACCCACCATGCTGTATGCATATGATAGGTAGGTACTGCCCTCTCTTTGTATCTTATCTCCTAAGAACACTATGCTGAAGTAATAAAATAGTTCAGCAGTTGGAGACAAGGCAGAGGTTTGTGGGGGAGAAGCCAATGTCTCTGGATGGCCTAATCTGTGACTGGATTAGGACAGTATTTTGAATGGCATAAACACCTTGTATGTCATTGGAGTAAGTGATGTCAAGGACATTTTACATTTGAAAGTTTATAAAAATCACCGTTTTCTCTCAAAAGTTATTTTAAACTTAGTTCCAGCAATAACATATGCTTTCTGTCAGCAGAAAATAAGAATTCACATTAACAAACCCAAATGGTTCTAGAAGGGCTGCTATTCGCCATTATTGTTTGAAAAAGTAATATTTTTATTATTGTTGTTATTGTTTGAAAAAGTTCTAGCTTAAAATGGTACAGTCTTTACAACATTTCACAAGACTATAAGACAGTTCTCTAGAGATCATCATTTTCTTCAGTAATCTTGCAGCTAATAATCCCTTGGGTTTTCAGTTGTGTAGAATTGGAGACCAGGTGTTCTATGAAGAATGAGTAAGTTGTCCATACAAAGCTCAGACTAGGAATTTAAAGAAATTCAAATAAATGAATAAAAAGACAGACAATAAAGAGAAAAATGAGGAGGAGGAAGAGGAAAAAAAAATAGTGGAATACAACAATTCTAACATCTCCTGTTTCTCTAAAATCAATACTCCTTATTTCAGTGGATTTTTTTTTTTTTTTTTAATTGGACACAATCAGATTACAGGAAATCTCACTCATACAGAAAGGTCTATGGATTTGATGTTGTACTGATTGCACTCTAAGTAGACTAGCATAGACTTCCAGTGCATGCATATTTCTGTGTTCACCTCCAGTAACTGAACTGAAGCAAAATTGTCCATGTACTCTTTCAAAATATCATGTAGATGTCAGAAATGTTTTACATGGATTAGAAAAGAAGAAAAACTAGTTTTAAAATCTTGAACAAGCCTAGATTGAGACTCCAGTAACGCAGTGACAAATTGCAAGAATGTTCTGATCCAAAAAGAAATTTCCCAAGAGTAACGTTAATTTTATGCATAGGCAGGGGACGTTAGAGGGGGAAGCAGGTTTGAGAAAGGCAAAACTGGCAGCAGTATTAAATCACAGGCTTAAGTTGCTCATTTGTATGAAACAGTAGCTCATATTGTAGATGTATATAAAATACATGTAGTTCACAGAAGCAAGGTGAAAATGAGTTTGCAAAGCGTTAATGAGATCTTCCTAAAGTCAGCCAGTCTTTGGTAGTCTAGAAGAGAGGAAAAAATGCAAGTATTAGCTGCTAAGTTCTTAAATGACTAATTTTATTATAGTCTTCCTGATCACATGATGCACACTCTACTAGTGAAATCAGAATTGTGTATATACTTGCAAAGTATTTTTAGAAAGCTGTGAAGAACTATCTGGAAGGAAATAGGAGGAGAGAATTGCCCTAAATTATGCAAATATTTTAATATGATGTGATTTATCTGAGAAAATTCACTGGAAGAATAACTACAGTCTCTAAAAAGGCTACAGTAAATCACTGTATAAATTTTCCATTCTGTATATTGTTCATAGCTAGGTTTGTAATTTAATTTCTACAAATACTGTGAGAAATCACTTAGCCTGGAAGGTTTTCAGCTTCTATTATTTTTTGCAAATTTAAAATCCCTATGTGACTCCATACCCCAAACTGCAGTTCTGCTGTTAAAGCTGTGGGCTTCTTCTCTTGTGCTCTTGTTGCTGTCATAATTACTTCAAGACTAAAGGAAGCATCCTGATTATCAAGTCAAAATGCCAGTTTTTGATAGAATAGCAGGTGACTGCTCTGCTTCTGGAGACCCTCCTGGCTCTGCTTTCAAAGGGTTTTTGCCTAATTCCCAAGATGCATCTGGTCATTGTTACTGAATGAAGAAGGAAAGGATGATCCATGCAAAATAGCTTGGAAATAGCTTGCCTGTTGGTGTCCAGTGCTTTTTCCTTTTCCCAGGAATTTTTTTGAGGGTGTTTTTAGGGTGAATTTTGTGAGGTAGCGCTTTACTTCCAAAGTACTTATGAGAGAGCTGAAGTTCTGTAACCACTTTCTATGAAATAATCAGAAATCAAAAACTATTAACTCCTAAGATATTCCTGAGATATTGATCCTGGTGATGACATAACCTCTTCTTTTATTTTTCCAAATGTAACAGGTAAATGTTTAACATTCACTTAAGCCATTAGGAGTCTAAGGTATTCAACAATCTGAAATCTGACTTGTTGCAGTATGTAGAATGGAAAACAACTAGGAGATCAGAATGGTAGGCAGAAAAAGGAATAATAATTACAGCAAGGGCAGAAAGAATAGAGATAAGTGCTTGCAACAACTCTAATGTGGTGAAAGACCTGAATCTAAGAACGTACAGAAAAGTCCATTAAGATGAATGTTCATTTTCATGGTTTTATATAATTTGAGAATAATCCATGTAATGAAATGGCATCGTACAAAACATCACAGTCCAATCAGGATTAAATTAGTACTTTTCTTCCTCTTATATCATTTAAATCTTTATTAGAAATGGGGAAAATACGGTTTTACGGCTATAGTTTCTTGTTATTGCCAATGGAAAGGATGGCTGATAAAAAAAATTAAAAACAATTTAAAAAAAAGTAGAGGAACACTCATAAATATGATTAACATTGCAGGAACAGATATAATATTTCTTTAGTAAAATCAACAAAACAAAGAGCTTAATCTCCTCACATTTTTTGTGTGTGTATAAATACATATCTATAAACATTTGTCAATCATTCTGGTGTAGGGCATGATTTGCATAATTAAAAGATTCTCAGTGAATGAGCTGTTATATATTTCTCTATTGCTGTCATTTGCAAAAAGTTTCCCTTAAAAATCTACCAGATCAGCTTCTTTTACTACATCTACAAAGTACGAGTGATCAAAAAGAATGAAAAAAAAATACACAAAACAAATAATCACCCAACCTCAGTGTGTGAAGTATCTTCATTTTATGATCTTCATTTAATACCCTAAACAAATGCATTTGAAAAGCCTAATGAAATATCAATTATTAAATACCACTTCCGCTCAGTGCTTTTTTTCTGCGATTATCTTGTTTTGTCTTTTGTATTAATCAAGGAATTATGTAACTGTGAAAATATAGTAGTGGGAGCTGGGGTAAAGAAGTGAAGATCACAGTAATTATGAAGAGGTTGTTTGGATATATCAGAGAGAGTGCACCTAGTTAGCAAAAGGCAAGGGAAGATGCAATTTAGTTTAGGGAGTAAGATATTTTTGAGAGGGTGTATGTGAAGAACAAGGATGAGAAATATTTGAGGCTGCCATTTTGAAAGGCAAGAGCAGAGAAATAAATACAGAGGAACTTCAAGGTGTTGTACATTCTAGAATGCTGAATAATAATACCGGGGGACTGCATGTATATGAAGCTAGAATAGTTCTTTCAAGTCAAATGTTTACATGTTACAGGCTTGCCCTGTTAGTCCAAACAGTTTCTAGTACAGAGACTCCCTGGCTTTCTTCCAATCCTGTCACACTGTAGAGTAAGATCGTTTCTCCAAGCTTCAAAAAGATGGCAAATAATGAAACGAGAGGTCTAGCTGAGATGAGTAGATAACAAGTCCAATTTTTTTTCAAATGGAGCAGCTTTAAAAATTACCTATTAATACTTTCTCTAGAAATTGAGAGATTTGACTGTAAGAGAAGTGTTTTGGCTTATTTTATATTCAATACATTTTTTAATCAAAGCAGTCCAGATGCTTCTATGTTCTCTTCATTCAAAACCATCAACAACCATATGCCATAGAACTGAAGACTTAATTGCAAAGATGTATCATCTGAAATCCAACTGCATCAAGGGAGAGGAGGTGAAATTTTGTTAATAATCAGGTGAGAGAATATGGGGAAGATGTATAAGTAATGAAGAAATATGGTCAGCATTCTTACTGTTGAACAAGTTTTGGGTCCCAGATAAATGACAGAAATTGGTATCTCATATACGTACATACACCCCTTATTCCTACGTGTACAACAAATGATTATTACAAAAGAGGTGGAGTTTGATAACACAGTGAAGAAAAGACTACTTTTCAATGATTCCTCAACATCAGTCTCATTAGGAACTGATGTCTATCCAATAATGGTGTCAAAATGGAGCAAGGGGGAAGGTGGCATCTGTGTATGTACGAAGCTGATGCAAAAGATGAACATTTGGCAAGTTGAATACAAATCCTCATTTTACCCTGGCAGCCCAAAGGGCCAACCACACCCTGGTGTGCCCCACACCCAGCACTGCCATTTTAAAATGAGTTACTTAGTTTGAATGAACTTATGAGCTGATATCTCAATGAGCAGCATCATAATAATTGCAATAAACTGCTGTTGTTCCAGGGTCTGGCTTCAGCCTGCCATATCAGTAATGCTCTTGGATATACTTTGAGGTATACCCAGTTTTGTTTTGTAATTTTTTATAATGTAGATTAAATACAGCTTTAGCCCTTCAAAGCCACATATTCCTTGTAATGTAATATTCAATGCCAATCAAAAATTATTCCAGCTTTTACCTTGTTTCCACTAGAGGTCAGTCAATAGATAGTAAACTTTTCTGCTGTAGAAATATATGTGGTTAAATTCTATTGCTGAACAACTTAAGCAAAAATACTGAACAAGAAAATTATTGTATATGAAAACTTTAAGCAGGAATAATTCTTTTTATCATGTGGCTAATTTTTTAGAAGCTTAACCATAGTTCCTGCAAGGTGAAGTGTCACTAAACTCTTAACTCGTAAATAGAAAATGTGTTCAAAGTATTGCTATTCTATGGTTTGGGGATAATCCAGATAGAAAGACTGGATTGATTGTGGAGTGTTTTGTGAATTATAGGAACTCATTGAAAACCCACATAAGTTTTCTACTAAGCTGAAAACTCAGTAAAATTACTGGATTTTTTAAAAGGCAATCAGTCTTACATTAAAACTGGAAAAGTATTGGCATGCTTTGGTACAGCTCTGCAGATTTAGAGCTATTGGTCAGGCAAATGGAAACTCAGAAACAATTGCATTGACTGCATTTTCTACAGCCCTAATTTGCAGCCTTCAAATACAGGTATTTCCCAGGTGGTTTGAAACTGAGGAGCAAATAGGTTCTGTGAGAATTTTCTTTCAAATATGTCTGCTGCTCTGAAGGGCATGCACTGATTTCAAGGCCAACACCTCTGTGCCCTCCTTGCAAACTAGGACATTTTCCCACATGTGAGCCCATCCTTCCCAAAGGAGGAGAGGACAGAATGAGGCCTTCTTTGAGAGGCATTTTCATAGGTCGCTTCTTTATCTTTGCAGTAAGTCATAAGGCTCTGCATTTTCTAGCTGGTTGGAGAGCAGTGAAAGGATGTTGCTGTTGAGTTCCTTAGTTTATCATGGCTTTGCTTATTACGTTTTCTGCAGGCAGCACGTTCAAAATTTCACTCCTTATCATTGTTTCTAGGCATTTAGTTTCATTTATTTTTAACATAATTGCAGTGTTCAACAATCTCTTGTCTCAGGTGAAGCCCTGCTCAGTAATGAAGTCCTCAGTCTGAGATGCTGAAGGCAGTGGATCTTTAATCTGAAAAGCAATTTTGTCATCTCTTGGGAACAATTAAAGCCGGATGGCGTGTATGTCAGCCACTGTACTTTGTTCTCAGTGAGTCCTTACCGAATATTTAATGTAAGTTACCTAATATTTCAATTTAAATGCTTCCACTGTACTCCCTGTTTTCCATTCATTGTCATGAGTAGCAATGGTTTAATGACACTCAAATACACTTTTTGTTTTTTTTTGTTGCCTCTCCTCTGCTGCAGCTGCTTCAATGCTGAGAAACAAGTACTTTCTCCCAAGAATTCACTACAACATTATTCACATATGGACTGAGTACATCATAAATATGAGTAACAGGGCTGAATCTATCAAGTTGGTGTATTTGTACAAAGACAATATGCCTTCATTTGTCTACTTGTTGCTCAGATAAAGACATGAGCCCTGCTTGCTATTACCGATGTATAACACTAAAACATTTAACATCCAACTTAGGACAACTGAAGTGTAATGCTTCTAATTAGCTGGCTTCTGCTATAAAACAGTGTGAGATGCATTATTATGAAAACTTTAAAATACTTTCAGTATTTAAAAATTACTTAATAAAAGACAATTTGCCTGAAGATCTTGGTAGCATAAATTGCAGCTCACTAATACTCTGTTAACAAAGATACATGGAGGAGGAGTACCGTTAGCACAGAAATTTTCATTGTAATTGACCTTCATAGTTGCCTATGAGGTAAAAAAGAAGGCCCTGGGGGAGCAGGAGAAGCATTTTCAAAACTTCCTATTTTCCTAAAATTATCTATCAGTCTGGACATCTCAGTATTAAACTAAAGTGGTGTACACAGTTTTGGGTGTAAATCAGAAGATTTTGGAGTTCAATAGCAGTATTTTCAAAAAGAGTTATGTCTCTTGCACTATCCACCTTAATTTTTCTGACAAATGATATTTGAAAATATTTCTGGCTGTTGTAGCAAGAGAGGTACGAGCTTGTAGAGCTCTTGAATCCAATTTAAATTAGATTCCTGTTTGTGTTTCTCAGTCAGGATGTATTCACATAAATTTGTTGAGTTGGTATCTGATATTAGGAAATGTTATTTTCTCTGTTAATTTACCTTCAGTCCTTAATCTCCTCTACTTCAATCTGAGTCAGCTAAAGATATAACTTGTGGCATCCATATGAAAAGTAATGAACTTTGTTCTTTAATAGAAGCTTCACAAAAGGTTTTGCAGTTATATTCCTTTGTTTCTTTTTGTATTGCTTGCAACAGAAGACCACTTTCAGAAGCGTAGGGAATTTTAGCTTTATCACATCCTTTTTGTGCTTTTTCTTTGACAGACAGCTTTCCCCAAGAGAGAGCAGCAGGGCTGGTGGGAGGACAGCACAATTGCACAAAGCAACGAGCAGGGATGGAGATTTGGTGGAACAAACTCATTTTACTTACATGTCAGAGGAGGTGTGAGGTGTTCCCAGGGGAATCAGATTTTGTGCAAATGTTGCTGAACTTTCCATCTTATGCTCTGAAGCGAGCAGTTTGCCTCAGGGCTACTCTGGAAAATTTATCCTGGAACTATTTAAACAGATGCTAACTTTAAAAAAAAAAAAAAAAAAAAAAAAAAAGCTGTAAACTGGGATTTTTTTCTTTACTGTGTTAGGCAAGGCTAAATGAATTTGAGCTTTCACAAACTGAATATTTTCTGAAGATGCCCGCCACAGTTCATTCTCCTCCTGAAGAGATACAAAGAGAGGATACAGAGGTCTTAGAGGACCACAGTCCCCTTTTCATCAGTGCTTGGTGTTCTAGCAGTCTTCTAGCAGCAGAAGGGAACACCATCCTGCCTCAGAGCTACTGAATAGCCACAGCTGAGGTGTGCTGACTCACTGCCCCGCCCACATTACTAATTGACACTTAAACAGATTTTATGCTGCCATGTAAACTGTTCTCCCTCCTCCTTCCCCTCCTTGCTCTAGGCCGTTTTCACCAGTCTGAAAAAAATCCTGCAAAGTAGGTTCACATTACAGTCTTTTTACACCATACCAATTTCCCTCCGTCCAGCTAGGCTACATTTATGCTCATTTCAATAAGCCTACTTCAGCAATTCCAAACCCACGCGGGAAGTACAACTTCAGTGATCTCCATAGGCTTTGCTCATTAAACCAGACTGAAAAAGCACCTTCTCCAAATGCATCTCCTGAAAGCTGGTAAGCTGCAGAAGTGTTAAGTGGTTCTAGTAGTTAGGTGCCTCGCTGTGAATATCCTGAACAAGTAAGCCTACATTGGCTGGGTTTATAACCACTTGTTTCAGTATGAATCTTGAAGGCTCTTCAGGCTTTTTCAGGTAAAAAAGCTCTATGTACCCTTCAGACTTAAATTGGTATAGCTCATAAGACCTCTCAACTTCAGCATTTTATGGTAGTCCTGCTTTAGTCTGCCATCTGAAATTCTGGTTCAGAAAAAGTTATTAAAGAAAATGCTATGAAAGGCCATCATTCATTTAGATCAGCTTGTGTTCAGATGCAGACTGCCCACTTATGTACTTGTATTTGAGGACATTAATAGAGGTATACATGTATGTACATAGATTACAAGATACTATATCCATTCAGTTGCACAATTTTTGGATGAATTCAGCAGAAAAATAAGTATGTAAGTGTAAAAAAGGAATTGAAAGGAGAGTCGAGAATTCGTAAGAAAAAAAAGAGTAGTGATTTGAAAGGGATTGTAAGACTAGGCTGTGCATACTTTCTGCATATTAGCTTTCCTCTAAATTAAGCATTCCCTACTATGCCATGAAAGACATCCATAGGCAACACTAAGTCCAGCTGTTGCAGTGGCAGGTAAAGCCACTACTTGCGACATATTTGTCGTAACACAGAGCAAATTAGTATTTAGAAGATAAGTGGCTGTTTTTGCATTCACTGTGGCTTATATACCTTCTGAGGAGAAATAAGTTCATTCTGAATGCCACTCATTTTGTATATACAAGACTGCAACATGAAGAACAGAATATTTTAAAAGCTGTTACAATAAGATAGCTGCCAAATCCCAGAAGAAAAACTCTACAGAGACACAGAGAGATGAAAACAAATTGAACATACAATAACCTACGCAGGGCTGGGAATCCAACTTTGGCTTTTCTACAATAATAAATGTCAGTCCGGTATCTGATCTTCTTTGTTCACTGTATGGGAACTGGTGAGTCATGGCCTGAACCTCTGATTGATCACCTGAGGCGAGCAATGAGTCAGCCACAGGAGCACAGGTGAAAGCAATTCACCTGTGCTGCAGGAAGAGGTAGAGCCTGGCTGCACCTCTCCTAGACCCATTTAAGAGCTGACTTCCAGGGGGGAAGGATCTCTTTTGGAGATCTACTCTGCTGGAGTTTCATAAGTGAGCCCAGGATATGGGTAAGCATCCTATCCATTCTCCTTTTGTTGTTATAACCTGCATTGCCTAACTCTTGTTTGTTTCATAATTATAACATTTTAATGTTAATTGATTATACATTCACGTATCCAAGAGATAAAAATTAAGAAGTTAAGAGTTTGGATAGTTGGAGCTAGCTCAAATATGATTGGGAAAAAAAAAATGGGATAATGTTGTGCCTTGAAATGTTGATTATTTTATGGCTAGTAGACCACTATTTCTCCTTCTAAGCCCTTGATAATGTTAGGATGTTAAAAAAGAAAAAAATATTAATTTGTTTCTCCCAGTCTTTCTGCGTAATGAATGAGCTGGAAGATACTGTATGATTAGTGGCTCACTCTCACCAGCAAATTATTGCAGCTTAGCAAGTGAAGCTGTCAATGTCAGCTGATCTTTAGTAATCATTCATACGTGGGATTGACACACAAATTGTTCAATAATGTTGCTTATCTGTCCTTTACTGTGCCAGGTTACCCCTAGTGGGTAACCATGGGTTGAGAGTGAATGTTGGATAGGATTTACTGCTCTAAATTTAGGTATCTGTATCAGAGTGGTCTCTGTCTAAGCAGGTTGTCTAAGTTCGTGTTAGTGGAAACTAACAGGTGTGTCTGAGGTGCACTCTATCTCATCTTGGGATAGCTATTTAAAACAGCAGGTGAATCCTGCTCTACTGACTCTGAAAGGAGCCTACACAATTAGCTCCAATACAATTTTATGAAGTCATGAGAACTATCTTGTCTTTGGAGAGCTACTGTATTTCAGCTGATTAGTTGATTGTGAATCTGAACATGAAAATATAGTGGATGGTTTGCTATAATGTTTCACTAATGAAAGTAAAGCAAAATTAATTGAGATTTTACAGAACATATGAATGAAAAAGCTTAATCTAGATATCACTAGAGAGGAAGTTTAGATGGGATTGTTCTGATCTCTTAAATTAAAGAGCTGGGTCATATAGAAAAATCACTGTCAAATCATATCAGCCAAACTTTCTAGCATTTTAGGTATATATTTTTTCTTCCTAGATATTCACATTTTTATTTTGTTTCTCCTACTCTTTCAGACATTGGATGAATTTCCATTTTGCAGCAGAAACAGACAATGGACTTGTCACAGCAATCTTACAGTGCTGTTTGAATTAGTAGTGGCAGATAAGTACAACTTCTCATCAGGTATAATTACACAGTATTTTCAACAGTTCACTGTCCAGCAATCATTTACTGTGGTTTTACATCATACTGTGTTTCTGAAAGCATGCAAACCCTGATTCTCATCTGTGGTTTTGACAGTTTTGTTCTTGCAGTAAGCTTACAGTATGTATGGAAACCTGGTTTTGTTGTACCACCCGTATCATCTTTCCTCAAGGAAGGTATGAGGAATTGAGATATGAGGAGGTATAGGGTATGAGGAATCATGACCCTAGAGCTCCACTTTCTCTGTTTCTGTGAAAAACAAACAAGCCCTTGGGAACAAAAGACCTCAGATCTCCCCAGCATGGGTATTTTGAAAAATTATCTGAGCATTAAAAATAGATTAAGATTTACTAGATTTTATTTATTTATATTTGAGCCAACTCAGTTTGCTCTAGATCATGATGTGGTGAGGTGAATGTTATTAGATGGACTGAGTAAAACTCTCACCAATAATTGCATTCCACTTATCTAACCTAGTATAATCTCTACTTCGTCTTTTTTTAACAAGTCATGTGAGTATTACAAATAACATCTACTGTAGTATCAGTGAGGCAGATGGCCCTTCGTTTATACCTCTTTTAGGCTCTCTAGCACAGCTGTATGCTCTACCTTGCTGTCTTGAGATTCATGAAAAAAATATGTTCAGAGAATAATTCTTTTCCATGTGGATTTGTCCTCCAGTCTGTCTCAGTGTAGCTGCCCAAGGACTTCCTCTAGAATAGCAAAAGGAGAAGGACAGCTGCTGAACACTTGTGTCTCAAAACAAAGGAGAGAAAATCCTCATTTCTAACAAAAAATAGAGTTCAAATTCAGGATTATGATGCTGACAAGTTCCTTTTGGCTAAAGCTTTTGTAACACTGTCAGAAAGTAATATATCAACATATTTCTTCATACTGCATTTTCTGTGAGTGCGGCACTTTACTGGCTTATTTGCTTTTTACAGCCTTAGCATCATTTCCTTTATTTATGTTATTTATCATCTCAGTTTCATGAGACTCATATTCAATTAGGAAAGCCCTGACTGGCTTGCAGCATGCATTTTTCTACACTCACAGATATCCCTTACATCTGGATATCTCTCTGGACTTCAAACAAAACCATGAATGATTGCTTTATAGTTCCTTTCTCTTAGGATGCACTACAACTTCCCTATCAGTCAACTGTTGTGTACAGCTGGATAAAATCATGGCTGCACCAAAATGAATAGGATTTTAGTCTTTGATTTCAGTGATATCAGAACTTCTAATCAGACTACGCCCAGTCACTGCCAGTTTTGTGAAATGACATGATATATCCTCTTTACATGAAAAGGATTTTTGATGGTTGTTCATAATCTGGAACAAGAGTAATGCTTTATCTACTTCTATTGCTTGTGAACATAATGTCAGTTGAATGCCCCATCCCTGGAGGCATTCAAGGTCAGGCTGGATGTGGCTCTGGGCAGCCTGTTCTGGTGGTTGGTGACCCTGCGCATAGCAGGGGGGTTGAAACTAGATGATCATTATGGTCCTTTGCAACCCAGACCATTCTATGATCAAATTGTTAACAGGAGAAGTGGCATTCAAAATTTTACTGTTGTCTTCTACATCCTCAGGAAAAATTACACCATTTCTGCTATTTTTTAGAGTGAGTTGCTTAGAGCATCACTTTGTCCAGACATCTGTAGTGAGGTCAAGGTAACATACAAGGATTTGCCATGCCTTTTTTGTAATGGCTCAAATCTCCTCTGCACTACAGAAGACAATAGGACAACAGAGCATTTTGATCTTGGCAGGGTCCAGTCACTTTGCAAGTGTTTGTGTGTCACATTTTGATTATTACTGACTTGCTCCAAAAGGTATTCTAGATCACTTTATACAAGTCCTTATTCTTCTTTTAATTTATAAATAGTACAAATTATTTTGCAGAATACCATACTGTATGGGAACTGTTGAGTCATGACCTGAACCACTGATTGATCACCTGAGGAAAGGACTGAGTCAGCCCTGGGAGCACAGGTGAAGGCAATTTACCTGTGTGACAAGAAGGGGTGGAGCCTGGCTGCACCTCTCCTAGATCCCATTTAAGGGCTGACTGCCACTGGGGAAAGATCTCTTCTTGGAGATCCCTCCTCTGTGGAGTCATTCTTACCAACCTAGATCTTTGGATGCAGGTGAATATTCCTTCCCTGTTTGTTTTTTCTCTCATTTTCATTATGATAATCTTTCCAGCTGTAGCACCAATTGTAACACTTACAAAAGATGCAGAATTTGCTATCCTGGCTAACTTCTTCCTCTGAACCAAACAGAATAATTTGAGATGTGTGGTAATTTATTTTTTTTTTCTGCTATTTCATTTTGAGTAAAAAAAGAAATCATAATTTCTTTACAGATTTCATCATTTAACATGAGATGTTCACTGATTATGAATGCAAAAGAGGTCATTTGCATTTCTGTGTGACATACCAGGAATATCGTGCCATTGAGCTTTCACTTGACATGTTGTTTTTACAGCTTTGCTATAGAAATAAAACACTGTTTATGCAGTGATTTTTCAAGGTTGAAAATTAAAAAAAAAAAAAAAAAAAGAAAGAAAAAAAGAAAAAAGAAAAAAAAGAAGGGAAATCTTATGAAAAGTAAGAGTGATTCCTGTTCCTATAATTGCTGCTTTCCTACACAGTTTAGGGATGTAACCTAATTGATTATTTTTTTAGAGGTTTGTTACCATTACACTCTGGCTCTGCAGATAAGACTTCTAGAAATTGTAGGTTGGTAATGTAAGTAATGGCTAAAATGACTGTGGAAAGCCTGTTTCCACACTGTCTGAGAGGGTGTTATGTGAGACGCTGCCCTTAACTGTTTGTGCTTGCACAGATGATTGACTTAGAATCCCAACACCTGTGATCTCTGTAATGTTCGATCTATCTCTGCAGCTGTTCCTCTGAGACTGCTACAGGCAGTAATTGATTAGTTCAGCAGCCCTCCAACATCATCTGAGTGTTATGAAAGCTGGTGAATTAAAAGCTACATTTTAGGAGCAGACAGCATCTTCCTCTGTGTTTACATGATGCTTCCCAGATACCTACATTTTTCTGGAGCAGCCCTACTTTTGCAAAATAGCTATAACACTTTTTAAAAAATAATTTTAAAGACATGAGAAAAATGCATCTCTCTTCAATAATTCCTTTCCCAAAGTCATATAGTCTTTCCATTTAATTTCAATCAACAAAGAGAATTTGTCCTAAATGGGGCCCAGGAGGTGATGAGCATGGATAAAGCTCAGTGGGGAAAAAACAACTGAAGATATCCTGTCTCCAGTCCTTTTCTGGGGAAAAAAAAAAAAAAAAAAAAAAAGTGATAGGGTTAAACACATTTATGGAATTAGATAGGGCTATTGTTCCTGAAGGAATGCTATGTTATTAAAAAAAAAAAGAAAAAAAAAACGAAAAAAAGCCACAATAAATCAATCTCCCATGTAATCTTGTTGTCAAAAACCACACAATTGATTCATCCACACCTGCTACAAAAATACTCTCTCTTAAAAAAAATTTTAAACAATACTGTTTCATAATCTCCTGGAATAGAAGAATAAGCCTGTCCATGGACAGTCTGTGTTTAGGTCTAATTTTCAAATTGACATTTTTCTATGAGTACCATGGCAAATAAATATTAAGCTGCCTAATCACAAGATGAGCTGAGATCTTATGGAAGTCATTGTACATCTTGAAGGTCTTCATGGAAACTCTGAGCTAGCAGGAATTATGATAGGTATCTGATATTGCTTTTTGAAACCAGTATATGAAAATCTGAAAGAAAAATACAGATGTGTTGCAAAATGGTAAGCAAAATACTTAAAATATATGATACATAATCTGAGAAATACAGAGCTGGAAGATAAGTCATATTCTGTTATTTCATTTTATTGCTGTGATAAGTCATTTTAAAATGTTCTTTAGTACTTATTTACCCAACGTGCTACTGTAAGTCTTTAGTTTTGTGTTTTTAACCTTTTCAGGCATTTGTGGTACTTCACTGTCCTTGTTGTGAAGTAGAAAGTAGCTCTGACTTCCAGTTTAGCTTCTGATCTTTCCCAGCTATTCATACTTCTGTCTATAACCATGGTGAATAATTAACCATGATGTTCTTTTCAATCATTTTCAATGTACATGAAAATGCTACATCCATTGGCTCACCTTTCTTTCCTCTTTGTACGTACAGATTGATCATACAGCATTTGCTCTGGTGCATTCCAGTGAATAAAACTAGATTATATGTTAATGTTCTGGATCTTTTCCATATTAGTAGAAGCACAGTGCTTGCCTCTCATGACCTTCCTGTGACTTCTTGAGTACAGTAATTAATAAAAGATTTCTTTGGCTTCAGGGTCATCTCAGCATGCCCCACTGACTTGAGTACAGTCAATTTATCCATTCTTTATTATGCTCTTCAACTGTTCCAGCCTCTGTTTCCACCCATCTGCTAACATCAACTGAGTGAAGCATGCCATAAATTTTGTGAACACTAATATAAAAATGCAGTGCTGCCTTCTCTGTGACATCTGTTAAGTGCATGTAGTCTCACTCCCTCAGCAGAAACCTGTTGCATCTCCTGTCCTTTCTTCGTCTTCTCCAGGAGTGTCACCGCTTTACCTTACTGCCATCCTTACCATCCATGGCACTGCAATTGCTCACTGTATATTTAATCCTAAGTGTTTCTACCTTTAGAATCTTGAGCATTCCCTCCTTTACTTGTGAGGCTTAAATATAAAATAGCTGTTCATACAGTCATTTATTCTAACCTAAAACTTAAAAACAAACAAAAAAAAAACAACAACAAAATTAGAAGTCTGGGGACCTGGGGCATCTGCATCTTCCTGTATTAACCTTCTTGCAGCTCTAAGGTTAGTCAGAGCTTTTTCTTATTAAAGGAACCTGTCTTCAGGTGTTCTTGTTATGAGTGACATTCATCATAAAAATTAAGGAAATACAACCATTAGTTCTATAGTATCTCAAACATTTTGAATAGAATCTCTTGAGGCAAATAAGGCTTGCACTGGATTATTTATCTAGAGTGCAGATAAAGGAAAGTGTTACTTCAAAATGTAGACTTTCCAGAAAAATGTAGCAAATCCTTCATGACTTTCTTATTAAAGAATCAACATCCTCCTAAGGAAACACTAGTAATTGCCCCATTTCTGGCTAATAAATCAAAAGCAACTGCCTTTTTCCATACTAGGCATAATAAATCTTCAGGCATTATAAAAAATCTGTTTGTTTTTACTTCTGTGAAGAAGAGAAAATTCAGATCTGTTATATCCTAAGGGGATATTCTGGAAAGTAACATCTGGACGTGGTATATTATTAAAGCAATACCCACTTTTAGGAACATCTTCTAGTGCTGCTTGGAAAGCATTTTAGTCTCTGGTGTCTGAAGCTTGAAGAAGCTTCCTTGTACCTTTGTAGGGAGTTTAACTTCTTCATCTTTAAGAAACAACCCAAGCCGAAATATTACATTATTGCCTGTATTTTCATCTCAAATGCAGGAAATCTCCAAGACACAGTGGATCCTTGTTCTCTCTCAGATTTATATTCTTGTTTGACTTGTATATGGTAGAGAGATCAGCTGGAGAAAAATATAGATGTATTATGGAGATACCAAATCATACATAAATTACATATTTAAAAGAGTAGAGGGAATGTAGAACTTAAAAACATAGTGCAAAAGACAAATCATAAGCCTGAGTGAATGTGTAGGACAAACTCATGGATTTTTGCCTTTTTTACTGCTGAAACGGTGCTGTAAGGCAAAAGGAAATGTAGTAACAGACTGAAAGAGAAAACAGGAAAAAATAGCTTTAATATTGTCCTGTCCTTTGGTGAATCCCTGTGAAGTTCCCAAGTGTCTCTGTGTGGTGAATACCTTCCCCTCTTGCACTTACCTAGTTCTGCTCCCGAGCAGTGGTGATCCAAGGACTGTTTCTTCTTCTCCAAGATCCTCGCATTAATTAGATCCCATCCTGGTTTCTTTATTCAGTTGTCTTTCAAGCATTCAAGTTACTTAAAAATTATTACCTTGCCAAAAGAAAATATTTTACAAATGCTCATTGCATTTGTGGAACTTATCTGTAATATTAGTCTAATGATCACATTTTATTATTTTTCCATAACATTTTACTGCTTGTGAAATAAAAATCAGTTTAAATGTAGTTTGCTGTTGTCTGCCCAGACGTAATGAATAACTCTGAAATAAATCCAAATACATTAGCAGCCTGCTCAATACTCTCCTATAGAAGTGTTATTAATTTATGTGTTGGAATATTTCATGTTCTGCTTTGTTGATCGAGCGATTATTTTGTTTGTTAACGCAGATGAAAGCATCAGCACTTTAGAACATTCCAGACATACTGGTATAGCCAAATCAAATTATGCATTTTTACTGACTCTGTTAGATTATCACGAATTTTTAAGTGTATACAGCACTTTGCACCTGTGAGTGTTCTAACTGTGAATGAGTAGTTAATTGCTTTGGTGCTATTACACTGAAAGGCTGCTAATGAAGAACAGCAGTTAAAATCTCTCCACTTGAAAGCTTGGTGCGCATGTTCACTTCATTTTCTATTGCCATTGCTCTTCTGTGACAGATGTGCTCATGAAGCTCTGAAAACTGCACTGATTTGGCCTGGTAGATGAGGTGGTATCCAAGCAAGATACAAGTAAGTCTTTGTAATTCTTGGAACTTCTTTACATGCTGTGAGAACTGTACTGGTGAGAATTTATTACCAGATATTAGGCAGCATCAGCTTTAGGCTAGAGGAGGTGTGAGCTCTATCTGAGTTACAGAAGAGAGCAGGTTCCTACTGCAGGAAAAGTTTAGCTTGAAGTGCTTGGCATCATCTATTCACATGGGAGTTGGCCAGGTCTGAAGATGGAGAAGTGTACATCTGGGCATCATACTGAAAGAGTCACAGTCTTTTCCTATCTGTGGTCAGTGCATTTTCAGTCAGGTCACTTTCATGAATATTTGCCTCAACCTTTCTCCTTGCTCACATACTTTTTCTGACAGAAGTTATTTTATGCCTAGAGCATGTAGAAGGGATCTCAAAGTGCAACTGTGATAGAGACCATTATGGAAAGAAAATCTCTTTAATAGAATCTTGCTTTTCCTTTGATGTTGTTTTACTTATGATGTTATTAACTGCATGACTTAGACTCATTTTCATCAATACATTGTTTCCAAATGCATTTGTCTATCTACAATTCATTATTTACAATAATGGGATTCCATGGGTATAAAAATGAGTTTAATGGAGTAGAGAGCAGGATTTGAAATGTTCATTGGCGCTGTTGGAATACAGTCACGTGCAAGAGCCCTGTGTGCTATCTCTACATCATGATGGCAACTGTGTTTTAACTGATGTTCAGCTCTTGATAAGTTTTGCTGCCTTTAGATTTTTATGTAAATTTACTAGAGTTTTCATTCTGAATTTACAGTGCCCAGTGCTGTCATGCCCTATCACACATTTAGCACGAGCCTTGTTTATGCACATTTAGAATCACAGAATCACTAAGGTTGGAAGAGACCTATAAGATCATCCAGTCCAACCATCCACCTATCACCAATGGTTCTCGCTAAACCATATCCCTCAACACAACATCCAAATGTTCCTTGAACACCTCCAGGGAAGGGGATTCCACCACCTCCCTGGGCAGCCCATTCCAGTGCCTGACCACCCTTTCAGAGAAGTAGTATTTCCTAATATCCAGCCTGAATCTTCCCTGGCGCAGCTTGAAACCATTCCCTCTAGTCCTATCACCGGTTACATGAGAGAAGAGGCTGACCCCCAGCTCGCTACAACCTCCCTTCAGGTAGTTATAGAGAGCAATAAGGTCTCCCCTGAGCCTCCTCTTCTCCAGACTGAACAATCCCAGCTCCCTCATAAGCTACACTTTGCAGCTGTTAGACAAGCTGTGTGGTCTGTTTGTAGTAATACGTAGATTTCTTCTACAATTAGGTTAAACTTCTTCATTTGTTCTAGTTTGACGGATAATTTCAAGGCATAACTACTGCAGTCAGGCAGCTGGAACAGAAAGCGCCATTCCAAGGAAAGAACAGAAAAAAGAGATATGGCATTGTGAGTGCTAGTTTCCGGCTGCTATTCCCTGCATTCTTTGCTTTCAGATAAATAAATGGCTGGGTGACTCTTATGAATGTTTAAAAAGCATGGTGTCCTTTGCTTGTAGGTGAGTAAAGTTGGAAATGGGAAATAGTATGGGAATTACGTGAATTTCTAGACAGCTTCACAGACAACAGTTCTTTGTCAAGTTCATTTTCATGCCTACAAGACTTTCAATATAGCTTTCAATATAACAAAGATACAGTACAGTAGACACTAATGATCACTTGCACCCAAATCTATAAAGCTCTAAATGATAGAAAGCATTTTTAAATAAATTTACAGAAAACATTAAAGTGTAAGTAGAGCTTAAAGATGTAATTCCAAGGTAATCATGTCAGTGCATCTGGGGACCACAGCCTTCAGTCCTCTGGCTACTACTCAAAGAAAGCATTCCTAGAAGACCTAAGGTCTGTTTATGTTTCCATCATTGAATTATGAGACTGGACCAAACACTCCATCTCCTCTTGCCTTTCAGATCTGAAATAGTAGTTTCTGTCTTTATGAAGTGCATAAAGTTCTTAGGGAGAAGCTGTGGATAAATCACATCTTTATGTCCTCTCAGCTAAACATGTCACTTAATTTATATACTTATGAGGAGCTGCTTTTTTGTTACTGAGGTGTTGCAGAGAAGGCTATTGGACAATACAAACATTTAAATAGGTTATTTTTCTTCTGCAGGATTATTTTCAGGTGAAAACAACTTCCTGCAAATTTTTTTTTTTTTTTGTGATAAGAATACCAAGTATCAAAAAGGACAGGATTGCAGTTACTATCATAATAAATAGAAAGAAATTTATGTCTGGTTGGTTATGTTCTGCAGTTCTCTGTCCTTCTATAGCACTATATGTCAATCAACTTTCACGTTCCTTACAAAAAGGTAATTACACATGTACTAAGGGTCACTATTTAGAAAACACCTGCTGGCATAGCACTGGAAAAAAAATATTTGAGGCTTGATTTTAGAGACTAGTTTCACTGGCTTGAGAAAGCTGAATTGTTGTAGTTCTTCAGAAAAAGAAAAGAGTTTAGAGGAAGTAAATACAGTAGGAATGTTTTACTGAAGAAAAACTATGCTCATAGGCAGAACAATCAAATGAAATGAGGATTGCTCATGATGAAACCCAATCAGACCTCAAATGAAGATATAAAGGGATAGAAGTCTTGTAGAATTCTTCATATTTATGCAAACTTTGTCTTACTGTTGTCAGCTACAGAATAACTGGGAAAGCAATGAAGTGTATTCTCTGGAAAGGAATGTTCAGATGTTGTTCATCACTCTCCAGCTGGGTGGTGTCTGAATGAAGGGTCTGGTGGAGAATCATCACCCAGAATGCGTGGGGCAAATAGCCTGATAGAAGTGTATTACTGTCTTCAGTATCAAAGCCAGAAAAAAAAAAATATATATATATATATATATATATATTTAAACACATATTTCTACTCTCAGGTATAAACACATTGCATCTAGTAGAAACAGTTACATTAACACTAGGCAGAAAAGAAATGATGAAGTTGTCTTTTGACAAGGATTATTTTACTGTGCAGGAGATGAGTGTAACTCCAAATCAGGGCACAGAAATAAGGCACAAATGAAAACTTTGGCCTGACAGCAGAATTTAACATGAGGAGTTCCCTGCAGCACAGTGCTGGGAAACCTGATAAGATTTTGTTGTCATTCCAGGAGCATTTTATCTCTAAACTGCCTATTGAGGAATACCAGAAACCTGTGTCATTCTGAGGAACGGCTGAGACCTACATCATGTGCAAGTAGTGTATGTTTATAAATTCTGAGATAACAGTATCAGAAGTTATGCAAAAATGGATACTAGAATCATGGAATCACAGAATTGGTTGACAAAGACCTTAAAGATCATCAAGTCCGACCATAACCTAACCATGATACCCTAACTCTTAAAAACCCGCCACTAAATCATGTCCCTGAGCACTGCATCCAAGCAGTTTTTAAACGCATCCAGGGATGGTGACTCAGCCAACTCCCTGGAGAGCCTATTCCAGTGCTTAAAAACACTTTCTGTAAGGAAGTGTTTCCTGATATCCAACCTAAACCTTCTCTGGTGCAACTTGAGGCTGTTTCCCCTTGTCCTGTCACCAGTGAGAAGAGACCAACCCTGCTCTCACTGCAATTACAATAGCTCAGATGCCGTGTTGAAAGAGACAAAGCAAAGCAAGAAGCTAGTATTCTTGAAGCCTTTCCCTTCTATGCTACATATTTTGATAAAAACAGTGGACAAAAGGAAGCCATTGAATTTATAGAGTAGGAATTGATTTTCTTTTGTCTTTCCTCTTCCTGTGATGGATGGTGTGACTTGATATTATACACTGTGCTTTGCCTTGCTTTGCATGGCAAGAAGAATTTCATTTCTGTTCCTGGTGGGGATCAATTTGTGCAGAACAAAGAATTTGTGCAGTAATTGGTGGTCTAACAGCAAAGCCAGTATTTAGGCTGCGTATGTGAGTACTTGGCTTATGTTTTTACAGTTGTATTCCCTAGAATATCTTCTGATAATAATAAAGCTGGTCAACCTGATCAGCTTTACTTGTAGAATGAATTAAAAGTAAAAGCTTGTAACTCCAAGAAAACAACCTTTAAATATCATTCTTTTCTAATTTGGTGTCTGATAAATGCCACAAAGAAAGGAGGAAAAAATTTATTTTCTCAGAATTTTTAGAGTAATATTCCTTGTCAGCTGAGATTAACTGTAAAAGACTGCTAAAGGTTAATATACTCAAAGCTGTGAGGACACACAATAATCCACAAATTAATCTCAGTATCCAACAGCTGTTATATAAAAAACAGTTCATAGAACTAAACAAAACAACAGATTCATTGGCTCTTTAAACATTAAAGCAAAGAGTTAGCTAATGGCATCCTATCAGGCTCATGGGTACCCTTGCCTGCAGGGTCTACTTCATCATTTTTTTCAGAGATTAAGATGAAAAGAAGGCAGTTGTTATTCAAACAGAATTGTTCCCTGTCTGAGCTACTCCACAGCTCTCACAGCATCGCAGCAAATCATTTGCATGAGTTCGATGTATTAACTGAAATTAATAGAATCATTTGGTAGTGCTCACTTGCTCTTATGGCCCGGGGACATTTATCTGTGAATGTAGCCAGATTTGTCAAATCTCTGATATACTCTGGGGTCTGCCCAGAGAAAAACAGAGGTACTCTGTAAGTGTAGCCAATCTGCTTTCCTTCATCTTCAAACATGTAGTGAGAATCAAATTCAAATAGCTGTGCAGAGCAGGGATATTCCATAGGATGCAGGTTTGCTCTACTGAACTACCTATTCTTGCTCCAAAATACCCATGGATTGTAAATAAAAAATGACTGCACACAGAGGCCCACAAAGGTAGAAGTGGTAGATGGCTGAATCTGAGTGAAATTCTACTGATTTCTCCCTCCATCATTTCAGATTATTCCAGAAAAAGAGGACAACCAAGGACAGTGGACAGCAATAGACCAATAATGACAGAGCTGCTTCTTATCCTGTTGTGGACAGGAATGGTCTTGTACAAAAGCACTTTCTTTCCTTCTTTAATAATAATTTAAAAAAAAGAAAAAAAAAAGAAAAAAAAAAAAAAGGCTATTTGCCTGTTTTGATTTTCCTTTGTTTAACTTCTCTGTGATTCCCCTGTAGTTTGCTGAATTTTAATGAGAGTTATATGCAGTTGAAATCCTCATATCCTGCTGTAAGCGCTACAGGAGTTTTTCAGTTTTTACAACATTACGTAAACATTCCTTGAATGTTTAAAGACAAGTTATAGTAGCGAATCCTTTTGTCGAAAAGATGTGAAGGTTTTGTGTAGGTGACCTGAGCAATGTAATTTAATTTTTACAGATGAAGCTTTATTTTGCCTCAAAACTCTCCCCCAAAGATTGGGAGAATGTGATCAAATTCTGAAAGTAATAAAAAGTTGAAACTTTAAGGTGTTGCTTTAGGTGACAACAGTAATCATGCTTCATTTATGCGTGTAAAGTCGACAGCAAACTTTATAAGGAAAAAAAAAGTAAGCAAACTGAGACCCCCATCTTTTCTCCTAGAATTTTGCTTATTCCTGAACTGTTAAGCTGTGTCGTATTAACAAGTGTGATAAATTTCTAACTGTAAATTGTATCACTTTAATGTGTATGGTACTGTTTAGTTTACAGTTCATCTTGTTCTTAAAATTCAACAGCAACAGGATGAATAAAATATTTTAAACCTGATTGTTTGCTCCTTAAAGAAGGTGAGTGCATGGATGTTACGCTTCTTCAATGGTTCTTAATGTGATTCTATTTTCAAGAAACAGCTAGTGTGCCAATGTTGTTTTCTTTCTCTGGTAAGTAATAGAGCTTGACTGGAAGAAAAGAAACACATTTCTTATGTGTTTACAGTGAAATTAGATCTAATCTGCTTAGCTTAATGACAGTTAAACAAAAGTGTTTGCTTTCCTAGTGCTGTTTTGATTCTTAAAACTCGTCTAGCTTAGGAAAAAGAGGATTTTCTGCCATTTTAGTGTTGATAAATAAACTGTTTCCAGGTTTGGCTTGCCATTCCTCTCTGCTTTACAGCCATTTTATATACAGTACAACCAACTTACCTTGTGTGTGTTTCTTTCAGCAGTTTGACAAATCCAAGTATGAAAAATATATTCAGATAAACCTATTTATCTTCAGATAAATACAGGATCAATTTATTCAGAAGTATTGTGAATACATCCTTGTTTATAGTGGAGCTTCTGAGCACAAGCACCAGGTATTACAGACTCAATACCAGCCTATCTTGTAGCCAACAGCCATAAGGTAATCAGAAAATATGTGTACATCTTTATTTCTAATCTAGTTAGAAGAGCTGGCTTTGTCTGAGGAGCTTTTACTGTCCTTGCAAAACCTTGCTTTGCTAGTCTCCCAGCATTTATGGTCCTGTCCTTTATGATGTTTGATTTCTGTTCCTAGGATTTCTGCCAAGAAAACTAAAAAGACTATTGGAAATCTTGATTACACTGATATGTGGAATGTTTCCAGATCAGCTTTCATGATTTGTTTGTTGCAAATTACAACTTGCTTATGAGAGTAATACCAGTGCTTAAAAGCTAATGAAACGAACCACCAAACTTTGGGTGATTTTCCATTAGTTCTTAGCCAGCCCTTCTCATAGCTGTGGAAGAGCTGCTTAGAGCCTTTACCTTTTGGTTCTGTTTCTTCAATTATTCATAATACAATAACCTTGCAAGGGTCTAAACAATGGGATTCCCCTGTTTGTGGAAAACAAGTCTTCCAGCTATATTTAATATTTAAAGAGCTCACAAGTCATTACTCAGCAGAGCTGGCAGCAGGAAATCACCATTTGAACACCCACGCTGATCAATAAAATATCAGAAGCAGTGTACAAGCACTTGCTTTTATAAATTGTTCTTTACAAAGCTATACATTGACTCAGCCTTCTGATGGTAGTTGTTGCCAGCAGAGCTAAGTCGCAACATCCATGCCTTAGACAAAATGGGATAGCTACTTGATATAGCTGCTTTAAAGATCTTTCTTTGTCTTAAGACTTTAAGTAAAAACTGTATTAGTGTTTTAATACTGGAATTTCGTGGGTAAGTTTCTTTTCTAAAAAAGACTATGCAGTAATTTTAAAAGAAAAGTGTGAATTTTATATTGCAAAATATTTATGGATAAGACAACAGATTGCTATGCCTGATGCTAGAAGCCCTGCTTCTAATGGACACCAAAGTATGATGCTCTGCATGTCTGTGCACAGTCCCTATCCTCATTCTCATCAAAGTATAGTTTACATGCATTACAATCCTTGTTGATATAAAATCTCTCTCAAAGATGTTATAACTGTTATAAATCTCACTAACCTTGCTTTCTTTTGAGAAGAATGCTCTAGGTAATGATTACAGAATTAATAATGAATGGATTGAGCTCCACTGTCCAGCTAAGGAAATATAATGTTGCAAATCTTTGTTTCCTTTCTTTAAAGTAAAGTAGCCTTTAGAAGCTCTTATCCAGCCAGTCTTTAAGTTACAACATTACAACTTTGGACAATGGCAGTGGCAACAAACTAATACATAAGTTCCGCAGGCTGGCACTCCAAAAGCCTCCTCAATTAATTAAGAACCATCAAATCTCTCTACCCAGATCTGAATATTATCTTCCACGCATACTAGTAGTGGGCTTGTTTTTTGTGTAAATGGTCACGGAAAAGAATCACTTTGTTTCCATAGCTGGAATGCAGGCTATCAAAAGAATATCCAGAGGAGATTGCAGTTAATTGTCTTCCCCAGGCTCACATGAGGATGCAATCCTGCCATTTCCAGCACTGTGGAGGATCAGGTATGGTAATAGCTGGACAAGGGACAGGGAGGACATGGTACGTCTCTGACAATTTTTAATTTAACAAGTGACTGGTAATACCTTGTGACTGTGAAGCAAGTTCTGTCTTTACATCCTACAAGGGAAGGAACTGGATTGCAAAATTGTAGAGCTTTATTGAAGTAAAGGTGAGTGTCTGAAGTCAGCAGCAGGGAAAATCAGCTTAGATCCCTCTTTGCTATAAAACCTAGTTCTCCTCCATCTATACAGTGGTTATAGAAATAGCTTTTACAGTCAGTTGTGAGGTTTTTTCAGACTTGAAAGCCGTAAAATTCAGGAGGCCATGGGAAAGCTATCAGAACACTTCATCTAGCAAGCATATTGTTAATGTCTGTGAAACTGGCAAAGAGCTGTTAACTCTCCTCATTTCAAAATCAGCAGGGA